CGCAATAAAGAGTCAGACAAGACTTTTGGTTTCCCAGTATAAATAAAAGTTGTGCTTACACTACACTGTAGTCTACTAAGTGTGCAATAGCATTATGTCTAAAAAATGGACATACCTTAATTAAAAAGTGTATTGTTAAAAAATGCTAGCGATCATCTGAGCCTTCAGTGAGTCTTAATGGTTCACTGGTGGAGGGTCTTGTCTTGAGGTTGGTGGCCACTGGCTGATCAGGGCGGTGGTTGCTGAAGGTTGGGGTGGCCGCGGCAATTTCTTAAAATAAGACAACAATGAAGTTTACTGCACCAATTGACTCTTCTGTTTACAAAAGATTTCTCTGTAACATACAGTGCTGTTTGGTAGCATTTCAACCAGAGCAGAATTGCTTTCAAAATTGGAGTCAATCCTTTCAAACTGTGCTGCTGCCTTATCAACTAAGTTCATGGAATATTCTAAATTCTTTGTTGTCACTTTAACAATGTTTATAGAGAGGATCTTCACCAGGAGTAGATTCCATTTTAAGAAATAACTTTCTTTGCTCATCCATAAGAAGCAACTCCTCATCTATTCGAGTTTGATCCTGAGATTGCAGCAATTCAGTCACCTCTCCAGGCTCCACTTCTAATTCTAGTTCTCTTGCTGTTTCCACCACATCTGCAGCTACTTCCTCCACTGAATCCTTGAACTCCTCAAAGTCAACCATGAGGATTTGAATCAACTTCTTCCAGAATTTCTCTTAATGTTGATATTTTGATCTCCTCCCATGAATCATGAATGCTCTCAATGGCATCCATTGAGAATGGTGACTCGTTCCTGGAACTTTGACTTTGCCCAGATCCATCAGAGGAATCACTATCTAGGGCAGTTATAACCTTACAAAATATATTTCTTAAATAATAAGACTTGAAGGTTGAAATGACTCCTGGATCCATGGGCTGCAGAATGGATGCTGTGTTAGCAGGCAAGAAAACAACATTCATCTTCTGATACGTCTCCATCAGAGCTCTTGGGTGACCAGGTGCATTGTCAATGAGCAGTAACCTTTTGAGAGGAATCTTTTTATGCAAGCAGTAGGTCTCGACAGTGGGCTTATAGTAGTCAGCAAACGTTGCTAAAAACAGATGTGCTCTCATCTAAGCTTTGTTGTTCCATCAATAGAGCGCAGACACAGTAGATTTAGCATAATTCTTAAAGGCTCTAGAATTTAGGGGATGGCAGATGACCATCAGCTACAACTTAAAGTCACCAGCTGCTTTAGCTCAGAACAAGAGAGACAGCCTGCTGTCTTTTGAAGTTTTAAAGCCTGACATTGACTTATTTCCTGTCCAGCTATGAAAGTCCTACATGGCAGCTTCCTCCAGTAGAAGGCCATATGTCTACATTGAAAATCTGTTGTTTAGTGTAGCCATCTTCATCAATGACCTTAGCTAGGTCCTGGATAAGTTGCTGCAGCTTCTCCATCAGCCCTTGCTGCTTCACCTTGCACTTTTATCTTATGGAGACGGCTTCTTTCCTTAAATCTCATGAACCCACATTCGCCAGCTTTCAACTTTTCTTTTGCAACTTCCTCAACTCTCTCAGCCTTCATAGAATTGAGACAGTTAGCTCTGGATTTGGTTTAAGGGAATGTCGTGGCTGGTTTGATCTTCTATCCCGACCACTTAAACTTTGCACATATCAGCAGCACGGGCATTTCGCTTTCTTATCATTCCTGTGTTCACTGAAGTAGCACTTTTAATTTCCTTCAAGAAATTTTCTTTCACGTGCGTAACTTGGCTACCAGTTTGACACAAGAAGCCTAGCTTTGGCCCTATCTCAGCTTTCCACACGCCTTCCTCTCTAAGCTTAATCATTTCTAGCTTCGGGTAAGTGAGAGACATGCAACTCTGCATTCCGCGTGAACGCTTAGAGGGCATGGTAGGGTTGTTAATTGCCATAGTTTCGATACAAAATGTCTCATGGGATAAGGTGACCCGTGGAGAGGAAGAGAGGCAGGGAAACGGCCGGTCAGCGGAGCAGTCAGAACACAAACGACATTGATCGATTAAGGTTGCGTCTTTTGTGGGCACAGTTCATGGTGCCCACAATAATCACAATAGCAACAGCAGAGGTCAGCGATCACAGATCGCCATAACAGATACAATAACAACGAGAAAGTGTGAAATATGGGGAGAATCACCAAAATATGACACGGAGACCCAAAGTGAGCACATGCTGTTGGAAAAATGGCGCCAATAGACTTGCTCGTTGCAGGGCTGCCACAACCCTTCAATGTGTAAAAAAAAAAAAAAATGCAATATCTGCAATGTGCAGTAAAGCAAAGCACAATAAAAGGAGGTATGCCTGTGTTGTAGCTGGCCAAAGTTTACAGTATGTTCCTCCACAAAGAACTGGTTTTCAGGGAACTATATATACATATGATATTTTCAATATCAAAAGTATACTCGCTGCAATATAACCTTTTTTGTGTGTTTGTTTGTTGATGATTCAGAAAGCACCTGGGGGATATTTCAATGAGAAGGCAGTGATCTGTACATCAGAGATCATGAGGCAGCAAGGCTGTACATAGGATAAACAAGAGGGATCTAGATCTGCTGCCCCCCTAACGCTTTTTCTAGAAATCATTTTTCTTAACCAATTCTGATTACCGGAACATTCCCTTGCCCTTTCTATTGCCTTTAGTAAAAGTACAGTTGAGAGTAGTGTTGAAGTTTTCACTGCTACACTGTCTGAAATATTGTTGTGCTATGGATCGTGGTACGAGAGAGGTATAAATACACCACAGCCAGCCTCTCTCCTCTCTGCCATGAGCACCAATGCTTCTATCCTCATCCTCACTGTTTGATATCTTATTGTTGGAGTGGAGAAACTTTTGGGTGGCCTGGCTGCTGAGAAATAGCGATAACTTGGAATCAGGCAAGTGTCTTCCCAAACTGATGCATGGAGTGACTATGAAGCGTGCCAGAGAAGGAGGAGAGAGACAAAACAAAACAAAACAAAACAGTCCCTGTGTTTGATCTTCCCAGCAAAGCAACATTGGCAGTTGACTCAAGGAGTCAGTGGGAAGATGTCATCAATAATCCAGGGAAGAGGACTAGTTTCTGGGGACGCAAGGAAAAGGTAGAAAAACATATTAGGCAAGAAGTAGAGAGGAGTGTTAAAGTGATTACTATTATAAGAGCATCACTCTTACTTGTTTTTGCATACTTGGCCCTGCAATGGATCACCTAGGTGAAGATACAGAGTTCAGCTGAATAAGAAGATTCAGGAAACCATGATGAAATGAATTTCTTTCTTACATATCAAATGCTACAAGGGGTTGGTTGATAAATATGGAAGTGGGAACCCTGGCAGCTAAAGACGCAGGTATTTCCAAAATCACCAGAGAACTGAGCTCACCAATAAGTGCTTCAGGACACAAACATCACCAGCAGAAAGTTAATTCTAACTTGCAGGTATGTTTGATTATAACACCTACTCCTACCACCAACACCATTACCACCACTGCTACCAACATTTACCAGGAGTCAGGGCCTGGGCTCATTTTGTTTCCATGTATTAATTTAATTCATTATTAATGTAATCCTCATAATGGTCCTATGATATAAATATTACCATTCTCGTTTTACAGACAAGAAAATTGAAGCTCAGAGATATTGAGTCTCTCATCCCAGGGTATGTAGCTGGTCAGTGGCCAGTCTAGAATTCAAATCTAGGTTCCACTGAGGCCAAAGAGTGGCACTTCCTAGGAAATGGTGTTTACGTCCATGGAGAAAAATAGGCTTCTTGTGAGGAAGGTCAACTCTGGAGTTTAGGAAAAACAAAACAAAACAAAGTAGTCACTGTGTTTGATCTTCCCAGCTGCCCTCTGCCCAGCTTGGTTTGTGGTTTTTTTTTTAGAGCACTGTACTTATTCCTCTGGAGTCACTGGTAATCTTGGATGTGCCGTTTAACCTGCCTAAGCCTTAATTTCCTCTTTTGCTAGAATGAAGCAACTGCATTTAACATTCTGATATATATATATTTTTACCTTTAACATTCTGATTTTATTCGACATCTGTATCTGCTGTGCATGGGACGTTCTAGCCACTGTTGGAAATGCAGGATTGAACAAGGTGGGGGGGATGGCTTGGAACCTCAGGGCTCCCCACTGGGCCATGAGCTTTTCCAGAGAAAATAGTATGTCATTGATCTCTGCACCTCTGTCCGGCCCCTCCCCATGCCTGGCTCATTGCCCCCATCTTATAGATGCTCAATGAATGTTTATCAAAATTACATAGAAGAAGAGAACTATTCATGATAAGTTGTATAAAACAATGCAGCGAGTACCCTAGAAGTAAAACAGTATAATGAGCTAGGCCATAGGAAAAGGAAATTGGTAACCAGCTGCAGCAATCAGGAGTGATTCTTCAGGAGGAGTTGGCTCTGACCTTGGGGAAAGGCAGGGCCATGATGGGCAGAGATGGGGCCACACAAGGAAATTTTGGAGCCAGGAAAGGTCCCTGTCATCCACTTGTCTCTGCCAAGTGAGACGTGTATCAGCACACGAGACTAGAAAGGTAGTTGGGGCTGAATTGTTAAGAGCCTTAAATTTTTGAGCTTAGGATTTTAGACTATTCTGGAGGAAACAAGATGCCATTGAGTGTTTTAAACACAGAACTGGTATCAGCAGTTCTGTCAGATTGAAATCCAACCATGGCCGGGCATTGTGTGAGAGGCACTTTCAAACGTGTTTTTTAAATTTAATCTTATTGAATTTATGACTCCAAACAACTTTGTAAATTAGATAGTTTTATTGTGTGTTAATTGCATCTCAATAAAGGTAAGTAATAAAAACACTGATCTCTATTGATGAGATGAGGCAATACAAGGTCCCTTGAAAAGAAAACAACCCAAAACAAAAAAGTCTTCTAAAACTTTGCTTTAACATTTGTGGGATGCCCTTCTTTACCCTCAAGAAATTAAAAGACAAAAAGGAAGGAAGGAAGGAAGGAAGGAAGGAAGGAAGGAAGGAAGGAAGGAAGGAAGGAGAAAAGGGGAGGGAGGGAAGGAGAGAAGGAATGAGGCTTAATATTTTCAAGATCACATGCCCTCTTTTCCAGCTGTATGGGAAGAAATTATGGCAGATGCAAAGCCAACTACTGTCTGAGTTAATCTTGGGTCAAGTGGACTATTGCTGAACTTCGGAGTTGTATAACAAAAATCACTTTCTTTCCATAGTCATCTCTTTAGGTATATAACAAAAATCACTTTCTTTCCATAGTCATCTCTTTAGGTGTATGAAGATTTTTTTTTAGGTGTCTGGATTCAATTTGACAGTTTCTTAAATTCCATGTGTTCTACGTGCCCAAGCAATCTATGGATGATAGAAGCCTTTTTCTCTGAAGGTGGGGATTGCAGGATCGGCAACGCTGTTGTTAAAGCCCTTCTTAAGACAGTTCATTTAGAAAGATTGCTTCCCACGGGACACACCTCTAGAAGTTAGCTGAGTGTGTTAAAGAGATTTATTCCTGGACAAATTGGCTTATAAATATGAACCAACCCATAAAAGGCAATCCACAGGGCGAGTCTCGGGGGAACTGTTCTTTCTACGTTAGGGGCTGGTTTTTATGAAAGTCCTAATAGGTAGCTCCTTTTCCTACTACCAGCCTTGGGTATTTTACTTCCCACTGAATGTGACTGTTTCTCTGAATTTACTTAATACAGCAGTCCCCAAGGGCTTGTAAACCCATAATGGGACAATTGAGTTTAGGAGGTTAAGAAAACTCACTCGGAGAGAGGCTTTATAATTCTGTAAGCAACTTTTCATTGGCTAAAATGTCTGAAAGTGCCATCTTAATTGTGTTTCGAGGGAGGGTTCTCTTGTCTGGTCGACCGCTGAGGGATGGCTGGCAAGCTAGAGCCGGCCCAACCCGTCTTCATTGAGCAAGCGTGGACTCCATCCTTTAGCTCTTCATTAAAGAACTTCTAGGAAGCGAATGGAGATGAGAAAGTTGTAGTCAGGTTAACATGCAATAAAAAATGTAAAAAGCCATTCAAGGACTTTAATTTCAATCCTAATGCAAGGCTCTCACCTCAAGTGCATCGCTTTAAATGTCTTGAAACACTGCACATTTTCCCTTTTATTTATTTTTTTTTTGAAATTTCATTTATTGTTAGTTTCTGACTGCTACTAACACTAAAAACCCTTAGAAAACTCCCATAGGCTGTGTTTTTCAGAGAAGCGGGGTTAGAGATTTTGGTCTGTGGTGTTCACGGGAAATGGAGCAAGAGATGGCTCTGGAAGCAGGAGAGCATTAATGCCAGGCCCTAGGAGACGGGCAGTGTGTCTGCCTCCTGGGGGCTTGTTTCTGACAGTCTATAGCAGAGGATGCCCAAATCGCTGCGGTTGTCTACTCTCCTCCTGGTGATCACCACTTCTTCCCACCTCCAAGTCCCTGAATCTGAAGCTCTTTAGAGATTGGATGAGCCTAAACCTCACCCAGCAGCTGCTGTAAGAACAGGAGCAAGGGTTAGAGTGACCTGAGATGCCTATTCGATTGCTGTAACCACACAGGAGGGTTCAAGGTTTTTCTAGCAAAGGTATCTTGCTTCTGGATTTTATACAGAATTAGAACACTTGGGTGTTTACTCAAAAACTGTCCAAGGAAAACCAGAGAGCAGTGGCCGTGGTACGAGTTCCAGCTCCGTGCCTTCCAGCCGGACAGCTTCTTCGGGGAGCCCAGCAGAAGTGCACCCCTGGCTACCAGAGTCCTTCTTTTGCAGCACCTGCCATTCTGTAATACTCCTGTCTGTCCTAGCTACAGATCCAGAAGGCTCTAGAATCCCTCCTTGGAGCAAGGATAGCTTGAGGGGTTGGAGAATTCTGGAGGACCACAGAGAGATGGGGCAGTTCACCTGTTGGGATGAGGGCAGCCAGGGCCAGTTGCTGGGCATCCCCAGCTGAACGAGAGGTGGGTTCATGTCTTTTGCTCTGTCCTGACTGGGGAAATGGATATGGCGGGTGTAGCTAGGAGATTTAGAACCACAGATGATTATGAGCATGTATACCTTCTCAGACCCATCTGGATGTTGGTAAGGGCTCTGGATAGTTTCCATAGTGGATCCTCATACATAGGCCTTGGAATGAACCAGAATGCCACCTCCTCCACTCACCTCTCTGAAGCTCCATTTCCTTATTATTAAAATCCCACCTTGCTAATATTACTGAATAGTCACTTGGTGCCGAACAGTATTGTAAGTGCTTTACGTGGATTAACTCATGTAATCCGCATATCTGCCTTACGATGTAGACTAGGATCTGTGAGCTTCATTCTACATATGGAGACACCAAGGCACAGAAGGGCTGAGTAACGTTCCCCAAGTCACACAGCTAGCAGATGACAGAGCAGGGATTTGGATTCAGGGAGTCCGGCTCTGGCGTCCAGACGCTGTGGACACCCCTTCACCTTGCTTCTGCAAGATTGCATGAGATCGCCAACTCACAGGCACTCCATGAGTAATAATTAACATCATTCCACTGAGTTATTAAAATGAGCCCCTACCCCTTGAACATGGTTTTCTCAAAAAAGCTAGAAATCCATGTCATCATGTTAGCTTTTAGACCTGTGGACTCCAAACTTTATGAACATACTGGGTTGTTATAAAACACACTTGGGTTAGTTATAAAACATTCTTGAGCATGGAATATGTATGTGTACATATATTTATTTGTATATGGACTAGATAAATATTCTATTGTACACATGACCACTATGAAAGATGCAGAAACAGGAAATTAATTTAGAAATAACAGAAAATAATTTTAAAGAACAGGAGTTCAAATACTAACATACCTTGGAGATATTGCGAGTTCTGTTCCACAACACGACAATAAAAAGAATACTGTAACAAAGCGAGTCACACAAATTTTTTGGATTAGGCTTTGGCTTAAGGCAATGTTGTGGCTGGTTTGATCTTCTGTCCAGAACACTCAAGCTTTCTCCCTATCAGCCATAAGGCTGCTTCGCTTTCTTATCATTCCCGTGTTCACTGGAGTAGCACTTTTAATTTCCTTCAAGAACTTTTCCTTTGCATTCACAACTTGGCTAACTGTTTGGCCCCCTTTTGGCCTGCCTTGGCTTCAGGCATGCCTTCCTCACTGAGCTTAATCATTTCCAGCTTTTGATTTAAAGTGAGAGACTTGTGACTCTTCCTTTCACTTGAACACTTAGAGGGCCATTGCAGGGCTAGTAATTGGTCTAATTTCAATACTGTTGTGTCTCAAGAAATAGGGAGGCCTGAGGACAGGGAGAGAGAGGGGGGAATGGCTGGCTGGTGGAGCAGTCAGAACACACATGGCATTTATCGATTTAAGTTCTCTATCTTATATGGGTGCAGTTCATGGCACCCCAAAACATTTACAAAAGTAACATCAAAGGTCTCTGAGCACAGATCACCATCACAGATACAATGATGAAAAAGATTGTAATATTGTAAGAATCACTAAACTGTGACACAGAGACACAAAGTGAGCACAGGTTGTTGGAAAACATAGCACCGATAGACTGAACTTGATGCAAAGTTGCACAAATCTTTACATTGTAAAAACTGTAGTATCCACAAAGTGCAATAAAGTGAAGTGCAACAGACGGAGGTGTGCCTGTAACTTATTCCTGCTCTTCAGGGGCTTATCTTGTTGCTCTACTTGGAAGACCCCCAAAAAGCTCACATTTTTCCGTTTTGCCCATGTGATCGAAGAGAAGGTCTGAGGGCCTCCACCTCACCACACTGACTTCTGATCCTTCCAGCTGGGGTTCTAACCCAGCCATCAGACAGCACAGAGGGTCCCTTGGGGGGCACCAGGGTCGGTCACAGGCAGATTTGTGAACTCAGCGATTTGAGCCCATCTTGCTCCCCACCCCTCATCAGCACCCTGCTCCTGGGCCCTTTCAGCTGACCAGTGGTGACTGGCCCCTTCCTCTGTCTCCCCATGCTCTGCACACAAGTATCTAACATCCATCAACCTACTTGAACTTAAGTCTCTCACTGGGTTGATTGCATTTTGAGACTTACCTCCATTTAAACTTCCAAAGGCTCGTTTTCCTCAACATCCAAATGGGGATGTTAATTCCCTGTGTGCGCAAGCGCAGTGAGGTCTAAATGGGGGGCCGTTTGCGATCACACCTCGCATGCTACCTAGCCTGGGCCGGGCGCTCTGCAGGGCCCATGCGTGGCCGGGGAGTCTGAATCTAGAAGGACAGACTCTGTTCTCCCTTACAGGGGAGTAAATAAAAAGAAACATTAACCTGAAATGACACCATATCCTGCTAAACCCTATCCTAGCTGAGCACCGCTAACTTCCAGAGGCTTCTACCTACAAGAGACTTGGTGTGAGGGGTACCGAGATGGGCATGCTGCCTTTGGCTTCGTCATTTGAAGACGGGGCCGTGACAGTGACTCCCTCTAGCTTAGTGTCCCAAACCCCACTGCACACATGGGCATCCGCTCCCCTCCTCCCCGAAGCCCCTTCCATGTCTGGACCTCCCTGACCACGCATGGGGACAGGCCAGGCCAGGCCAGAGAAGGAAGGCGGGGGAAGGCTGCCCCGCAGGACCGAAGGGCAGCTGTTTATATTATAATTAAGGTTTTACAGCATAAACTGAAATGTAGCTTGACTATTCCAACAAGGCACTGGAGGTAATTACCACTGCTAGAGGCATTCTCCACTGCCAATTATTTCCCTTCCTAATTGAATAACTTAGGCCACATTGTACAGGGCCAGGGAAAAGGAGTTGCTTTCACATGTGGACGTTCCTTCAGAGGCCTCCGAAAGGCGCAAAGCTTAACACTCTCAGTCCCAATCCTTTCCGAACATCCTTTCCTAAGAGTGTCGTGTGGAGGTTAAGAACATCAGTCTTAGCCCTGGGTTCCACCACCTACTAGCTTGGGCAGATTAAACCCTCTGCATTTATCCTATAAAATGAGACTAAAGAAGTACATGCACATCTCGTTATGGCAACTGGCTTTATAGGGCTGCATAGACGTTTCATTTTTTTATACATTGAAGATTTGTGGCAACCCAGTAATCAACAAGTCTATCGGCGCCATTTTTCCAACCGGAAATGACAGGTGGTCATTTCCTGTCTCTGTGTCAGGTTTTGGTAATTCTCATAATAGCTTCAAACTTTTTCATTATGACGTCTGCGATGGTGATCTGGGATCGGGGATCTTTGATGTTACTATTGTCATTGTATTGGGGAGCCATGCACTGCGCCCACATAAGACGGAAAACTGAATCGATAAAGGTCATGCATGTTCTGACCGCTCCACTGACCAGCCGTTCTCCCGTCTCTCTCCCTTTCTTTAGGCCTCTTTAGTCCCTGAGACACGACAATATTGAAATCAGGCCAATTACTCACCCTACAATGGCCCGTAAGTGTTCAAGTGAAAGGAAGAATCGCACATCGCTCCCTTCAAATCAAAAGCTAGAAATGATTAAGCTCAGTGAGGAAGGCATGTGGAAAGCTGAGGAAGGCTGGACGCTGGGCCTCTCGCGCTGAACAGTTAGCCAGTTTGTGAATGCAGAAGAAAAGTTCTTGAAGGAAATGAAAAGTGCTACTTCAGTGAACACACGAACGATAAGAAAGCAAAGCAGCCTTATTGCTGATAGGCAGAAAGTTTGAGTGGTCTGGACAGAAGATCGAACCAGCCACAGTGTTCCCTAAAGACAAAGCCTAAGCCAAAAAATATCTTGTGTGACTCTCTTTACTGTGATTTTTGCTTTATTGCGGTGGTCTGGAACCGAACCCGAAATATCTCCGAGGTAAGCTTGTGTGGATTTCGGGGGCACTGTTGTGAGGATCAAGTGAAATAATGATGGTCCTGGCACGGGGAGAACATTCAATAATAATTCTGGCTTACGGATGTGGTTCCAACAGAGGGCGTGAGCAGGGAGGGGCAGGTGCTGTTCTCTTCCCTGCACAGATGGGGGACACTGAGGCAGAAAGTACATCCCTGTCCCTTGTGAGACCAGCAGCAGATAGAGAGCACACCTCCTTGGCTTAACAGAGATGAATTCCTTTGAGTTGCAGAGGAATGGCCCCTCCCAAGAAGGTTGGACAGACCCCCAAGACATCCAGTCCTGGGTGGGGGTGTCACTCTGTCCCCCTCCTCTGTGTCCCTACAAAATGCCTGACATTATGCACAGTACTATAAGGGCTCCTGGAGTCCCATGGCGAGCCCGTGATTGACATCACACATATTTGGAGACTGCTTTCGAATTTTTAAATTGTATTCTACTCTCATCTCCTTCGATCATCGCAACCACCTAGAAAAGAAAAATATCCCTCCTGGTTTACAGATGAAGAAGTGGAGGCCGAGAGAGAATGAATAAATCACGTCAGCTCAATCAAGGACTCAGACACAGGTCTCTGTCTCCAGTTTTTCCCAGTGCTTGGCAGGAAGGAGGTCACAGCGATTCTCAAGCATTAGTGTGCGTACAAGTATCTTGGGGAACGTGTTTCAAAATGCAAATTCCCGGGCCCACGCTCCCAGGAATTCCGATTCCCTGCATCTGAGAGGGGAGGGGCCAGGAATCTGAAGTTTAACAAGGTCTCTTAGGTTTTTCTGATGTCAGTGGTTCAAAGACCACATTCTTGAGAATCAGTGGACTCAGAGCACCTAGGACGGGGACAACAGAGGCCTGTGAAATGCCACCTGTGTGACCCCAGTGAATTGACTTAACCTTTCTGAGTATTACTTTCCTTATATGCAAATGAAGACAATAGTATTCGCCTGCAAGGAGTTTTGTGGGAGTTAAATGAGATAATGCGTGTAAAGTGTGGAGCTCGATGCCTGGCACATACCGAGTGCTCAGTGCTGTTCCTGTCATAATTGTCACCATCACCGCTGCTCCTGTCAGGGATATTATTGAAACACAGCCAAACCGTGTGTTACTCAAGGGATAAATGACTATAGCTTGAAACCTTATCATTTGAAGTCATTAAATCTATAGAAAATTGGGATATAAAAGCAACATAAATAGGATTTGATAAATTTAAATCATTTTTTTAATAAGACTGACTCATTTATCCTCATTTAACTGCCTTGGGGTGGTGGTGTTGGCAACTGCTTGGACAAATAGGAGTTTGTTCCGTAATTAGCAGACACTGATTAATGGCAGGAAACGGGGGAGGGGCAATTGATGAATAAGCCAACAGGGGCTTCTTGAGAGCTGGCTGTAAATCTATGTGATCTGCCCCAAAAATCAACAGCAGACAGCAAAGCGGTGGACAAGGACGTACAGCGCCCAGCCCCAGACATGCCCAGCCTCCTCCTGGTCATCCTCCATTTTTCCTGGCACCTTGATGGCATCTCTGGGTGCAGGTGAATCCCGGAAGCCCAGGCCCCTTCCACAGGTCTGACGTCTGGGTGGAAGGGAACGCTGCCCTCTTCTTGGAGAAAGCTTGCCCAGAGCTTGCCCCAGGACTGCTTCTCCAGGTCTCCCCTGGGGAAAAGGAGAAAGAAACTTCAGAGGCAAGTAACACAGATTGAGCTAAGCGGATGACCTACAGACTGTCAGTGATGGCACCTCCCCGCCCCCACCACTTAGAATTTGGCAGAAATTTCTAGTGAAGTGCAAAGTGACCGTGTCAGCAAGGACTACCCAAGGCTGGCCTGGGGCTGGTGGCCTGAACTTTGTCAGGGAGCCACCCGGAAATCTATCATTTCACCCAGGCCACCTTCCTCTTTTAGTGAGGCCAACTAGACACCAGAAACAAAATGTCTGATTGGAGAAGGCCCAGAAATACTCTTGGGTGCATTCTGACATCTCGGTGAACGTGTTCTGAGAAAGGAGCCTCACGATGCCCATAGCCCCATAGGATGGGGGCAGGTGCGTGCACTCCAGCGTTTGAGGTGGGGTGAGTCGTGTTTCAGCACTTCCTTTGGAAATCTGAAGCCCACAAGCCATATCTGGGTGAGAGTCGTCTTTTATTTGAGCTGTGCAATGAGTGAGCCACCTCCATAGTGTGAATTTGGAGACCAGGAAAGTCCTACTCCTCCGAAGAACACCCTTTCCTCAAGCATTTCTATCTCCAAATGGCCCTGCTCTGCTACAACATCTGCAGGCCCTAAACTTCTCTGATCTAAGCCCCTGAGATGACCCACATCTGCTCCACAGAGAAAGGCTATGGAAACAACAGGTGACAGAGACATGGGTCAGTCCTGCTCTGACTTTTTCTCTGGAATGCCACTCCCCACCTTTATCTTCTCTTCCCAGTCTGCTGTTCTCCATGACCTTCGTCTGTCTCTGTCACCTGCTCCCTGTGCCTTCTTCCATCTCGGGGTCCCATACGGTGCCAGGTCATGTCTGGGCGCTCAGGGGGCTGCGTCCGTGCCATGAAGAAATGAGCCAGGGAGGCGAGGAAGAATGTCCCCGGGCACATTGTCCGGCCCTCCTTTTCCAGAAGGAAACAGACGTGGGAAAGAAAAGACTGACTGTTAATCTTCTACCCAACGTCCAGCTCCACGGTAACCCTCTTTGTATTGCCACGGCGACCGGGTGGCAGAAAATGTGGGCAAAAAATCACACATTTGCCTGGAAATCGTCTGCCTTTTATGTAGAAACATTCAAAACTGTCTTCATGTTTTAGTGCCTTACTTTCTCTCCCTCTCCCTGTATCCATTTCTATAATCCCTTCTCTCACGTGTCCCAACAGCTTAGCCAACCCCTCTGTCGCCGGGATGCCCTACAAAGACGTCTTTCTCCCCCTTCCCGCCATCCCCGCCTACTCCTTCCCCAGCTGTTCCCTCCGGGACAGGAGGCTCGGGCCTCCACAGCCACCAAGGCCACACACGTGTCTCAGGAGGAGAAATGACCAGGAACAGGAGACCAGGGGACGCATGCGCCGTACCGCTGGGGGACTGTGGCTTCACACGGGGCAGGAGTGGGCAGGAATGGAGGTTACTCATCTCCCTCCACGCAAGGAGCTGGGAGAAGTTGTCCTTGATGGGGAATTTTATTGGTTTTCATATTATCATTTGGGGAGCGCTGTTAATGAGTTGCCATCCTTCCAAATTAAAGCTTCAAGGTTGCGTTTGGGCACTAAAGAACTGCTGGCTGCACAAAGTGTCCCTGTTGGTGTGACAATTTCTCACGGTCAGGAAGTTGCACTGGGTGACCCAGGGACCAATGTCCTGCGATCCCCTCCCCTGATTGCTCAGGAGCATTTGACACAATGTACATTTCATCTGTCCTTTTAGAAGCCTTTTCTTCATTTGGTTTCCAGAAACCACAAGCTCCTGGTCACCTTCCTATGGCCCAGCGCACTCCTCCTCTGGCTAATCGCTAACAATGTGAATAACTCAGGGCTCAGTCCCTGGACCTCTTTTCTATCTACACTACCTGCCATTGTCCTCTCTCTCCCTCATGGATTTAAATGTCAGGTTGAATCACAAAAACATCTAATGATCACTCTTTTTCACCTACAACAATGATTTCAATGGTCTCACCTAATGCAATGTGGACCCCCAATCTCACATCTGTGTCTCCATCCCCTGACCTCTCCTTGAACTTCAGACTCATTTACTCAACTGCCTACGTGACACCTCCACTTGGATGTCTAATATGCACCTCCAGATGAACTAAAGAAGTTGAGAGCAGGACCCTAGACTTCTCTGTCACGTTGGCTCCTCTCACCATCTTCCCCATCTCAGCTAAGGACAACCCTACTCTTTGGGTGGCTCTGATCAAAAACCCTAGCAGTCACCCTTGCTCCCTCTTTCTCTCACATGCTACAGATGTAAGTCTTGTTAGCTCTAACATCACTTCTCACATCTCCACTCCTACCATCCTAGGCCAAACTTCCTAGAGTTGTTTCCTAGATTGGTATAATGGCATCCTAACAGGTTTCTGCTTCTGTGCTTGGGCCCCTATAATCTGCTACCTGTACGGCAGTCCAGGTAGTCACTCCAAAGCAAAAATCACATCATGCCCTTCTCTCTACCCCAAATCCTCCAATGTCTTCCCATCATGATCAGAATAAATTGTAAAAGGTCTTACCCTGCTGATTTCCCAGCCCCTCCCTGCCTCTCTCATCCTCATCTCCTTAGCCTTCTTCACTTAGCTATAAACCAAAGCCTTTGTGCTTCCTGCTCCCTCTGCCTCGAACACTCCCACTCCACTCATTCACATCTCTGTTTAGATATCACCTCCTCTGGAAAGGCTTTCTCAGTAATGCTTATCCCTTCATCTTGCTTCATTTTATACACTGACCACATGATAGTATATTGCATAATAATTTGTTTATGTGTTTATTGTCTTTCTACCAACTAGAATCTAAGTTCTCCAAAGGCAAAGATTTTTGTTGGCTTGGCCAATGCTCTCTCCTAGTGCCTGGCACATAATAGATGCTCAGTAAATATATTTGGTAAGTGAATGAATGAACAAAGTGATGAATGAATGTGTCAGGCCCCCATCTTTGTACTTTATGAGGGCTCAATACACATTTGATGCTTGAGAACCTTGGGCCAACAGTTTAATAATGATATGGGATTATGATTGTAATGGAAAGTGAGTTCATAGTTTTTAGAATGGTTTCCTTAAATATGATAACTCCTAACTCCCTTCCCATCAGGACAGAGGATGCCAGAGCAAGAGGTCACTTCTTGCATTCCATTTTGTCCATCCAAAATATTAAGTCTTTGTTCTTCATGCAGTGACCATGACATCCTTAGTGCTGGCCATTGCAGCCATACCTACACAACCCCCCTCCCCAGTAATGATAAAAGTAATAACCAACTTTCATTAAGATCTTACGATGAACCAAGCATTGTTCTAAACTTTTTACATATATTATCTCATTTAGATGGCTTAACAATCCTATAAAAGCAGGTGCATATTTGATCTCCACACTTAAATGAGGAAACTGAGGCACAGAAGGGACTAAGTAACACTTCAAAATTCACATAGTTGATAAAAGGCCAAATGTCTCTGAGGTTTTCAGTTTGGGATGGGGTCTCTAAGGATGCTATGCATAGAAAATCTCACTGTCCCACCCTCACTCCTGTCCAGATTGCCCAAAGCTCTGAAGAATCCCATGAAGACAAGGACAATGAAGATTAAGGGCATCCTACGTTGCAGTGAAAAAGACCCCAGGTCCTGGTACCTACTAAGGCCATGCGATTCCATCAAAAGTGTAACCAAGTCAGTGACACAATGGGGCTCTATCCCTCATCTGTTCTCTATGGGTCCTCTGCACCCTTCAGAGCTGGCCCTTCCCCAGCCCAGTTGAAAGACACGTGTTTGTCACACCTTCAACTGAACAACCAGAGTCTAGGTACCAATCCATTCACACTCAACCTCCCTTGTGAGCTCCGCTCCATCTGGTAAGTGGGAGTCTTGATGGCCCCTGGTTCTCAACCCCTTCACCCAACAGGTAGCGCCTAAACAAAAATGCCTTCTGAAAACAATCACAGCATCTGCACTGCCAAGAAACAAGGAACACCCAGGCTCATGTGCTGATGGCCACCTCCTGGGGCCCTGGCAGTGGCTCCCACAGGCTGCCTGGAGGTTGCTGCTTCTCTCCAGGAATAACTGACAAGGCATGGGGACATTGCTCCCAGCAGGCCTCTGCCCCGTCCCCAGCAGCTCTGAGCCAGAAAGAAAGGAATGGGGAGAGGGAGGGAGGTCTCTCTAAGTAAGAGAGCAACTGAAAAGATAAATGGAATCCATTTCAAAAGGAGTTACAGGGCACCTGAAGAAGCAAGCCTCTGGAGTTGGAGCTAAGGCTCGGAAGCATCCATTAATATGCTTCACACCTGCTCTGCCTTTTTCCTGGACTCCCCAAATGCTTCCCGGACACCCCAGGGGCCCCTCATCACAGCTAGACAGGACTCCCTTCTGCAGCACCAGAAGCAAAGACTGCCGACACGCAAATATCGTGCGCAGAAGCTGCTAGTCTAAACATGGATACAGATAGAGTTAAAGGCACACTTGTGGTGCAGGTTTCCAGAGAAAATGTGGACTAAAAAAGAAAAGGGAGAAATCGAGGAGCAGGAAAATATTAGCTTAAGACATCTCAACCTTACGCCCCAGGGAGAACCCGGTAGTAGAGGAAAGCTGCGGAGGGACTGAGATGTTCTTTTCACTGTCCTGCAAGGTAGCCAGGGCCAGCCACTGGCAGCCAGCTCACCATCAATGGGTTGCCCAGGTTGGAGTGACTCGTCTGTGCCCTGGGCTCTACCCCGCCACACGGATCATCCCCTGTACAATGACCTAGGACATTGGTGACCCCCGCCCGTGCTAATAACTGATGAACTGAATGACTTTCAGAAATCACAACATCTATCGTATTGATCTCCTCATATGTAACATCAGGCACTGAGAAAATGATTTCCCACGCAGTTCTAATATTCTGGATTTTAATAAGGGCTTATAGTGGGATATTATTCAGGAAAAGAAATGTCTTTGTTCATCGTGGAATGGTTGCTGGCAATTTCCACAAAAATAAGCAGTGGAGTCTCCCATATAACCTGGCTGTTAAATTTTAATCAAAGCCTGTGAACTGAAAATAATAAAAATATGTGATCAGGATGGGGCTAATTATATATAAATTTTATCATTACCCAGATATGTTCACCATGGCTCATGAGATGACTGACATGTGATCATCTGACTGGTCAATTTTAAAAGAATTTACTAAGAATTAACTAGTTGCCAAGGACCATGATAGGCACATTGAAGAAAACTAATAATAATATATTGTCTACATCCTTAGCAGCAAAAAAAGATAGATCTGTAAAAATAAATCTAGAAACTAATATAAAAAGTTTAGAATCACACTATAATTTTTAAAGCTGAAGATCTGGCTACTGTCCATTGCAATGTTGGCCAAGTATAGTCCTCCAGCTAATGCTAAACCTCTGAAGTACAAACAGAAATGGGCAATATTGTTATCACTAAATTCTACCACTGAAGATGAGTCATCGCTGGCTCCGTGCAAAGGGACATAGAATATTTACCTTAACCCAATTATCAAACAAATTTTCTTTAGGGAAGGTCTGGCCTTTCTCCATAAGATAATGCTAAGGTTGGTCATTTTAGTTTCAACAGCATATAGACTTAAGATTTTAGCCACAACAATCTTGTAGACAGAGCTGCCTAGAAAATTTATGGGATCCAGTGCGACATGAAAATGTGGGGTTTCTTGTTCAAAAAGTACTAAGAATTTCAAGACAGCAAAAGCAGAACATTAAACCAAGTGTGGAACCCTTCTAAGTGGTGGAGCCTTTGCTACTGTACGGATCACACACGCATGTAGCCTGCTCATGGATGTTCTAGAATTAACCATGGCTGACACTTAATGAGCGTTTACTGTCTGCTGAACACAGTTCTCAAACCTTTACATGTATTAACTCATTTAATTCTCAGAACAACCCTCAGAGGGAAGGGTTGCTATTATATCCTACCTACAGTAAGGAAACTGAGGCATGGAAGAGTTTAAGCCTCTTACCCAGGGATCCATGGACATGGGCTAGAGCCAGGATTTGAGTCTGGGCAGTCTGAGTTTAGGTCGTATCACAGTGCGACACTACACAGCTCCTAGTAATCTTCTCCAAGACTGAGTCTGGAAATTATACTGACAGACTTCCATTCTGCAGAGTCTTTTAATTTTCTTCTGTTCTAAAATTAACACTGGGCTTGAGCAACTCTGAGGTTGTCTCAGTTCCAGGGACCTGCAATGACTGGGGCCTTCTACATGGGTGCTACTGGACTTACATGGGCAAAGCAGAATACGTGTGAACACAGAGAGCTGGGAACAGTTGTCCACAGACCTCCCGCATGTCACAGACCCCCAGAGTCAAAGCCTGCTGAAGCTTGACAGCTACGGCTATGGGGAAAGTGGCTTGGACCAAGAAAGCCCACCAGGCACCAATTATGGAAAACAGTTTTATGCTGGAAGGATGAGGTCTCTGGGCAGAACCGGGCTTGCCTGCAATGATGTTGACCTCCAGCTCATGGCTGTGACCTTGCTCCTGGGAAGGTCCCGGGAGAGGGACTGCCTTCCCCCTAGAAGGCTGTGAGTCAGCCGCACAGCGGACAATGAATGGCAGTGTTCTTGGAGGGAAGAACGC